CTGAAAGCTCAGAAGTTCAAGTCTTGTTCTCCAGTTGATGGGTACCATCTTTAGAGGCGGGGCCTAGTTGAGAAAATTGCTCAACATGAGCAATCTCCTCTACATGCTCCATATCCCCCAGGTGCTGCCTCACCACAGACCCAAAGGCTAGAGGCCAAGAGACCATGGACTGAACCCTCCACAACTACATGGCAACATGTAGTTTAAATCACTGTCTTGGAATTTTGTCTCATGGCGGAAAGCTGACTAGCACTGTGGGTGTGTGTGAACGACTCAAGGCAAATACACAGTAAAAGGTGGAAGAAAGGTAAAAATGTAAACAGTACTTTCCCCCCAATAAGTCTACATATCAAAGTACATCCTTAGGGAAAGCTCCCTTTCCCAGAGAACCGTAATTCTCAAAGTGCTATCCTTGGCCGGCAGAAACAACAAAAACATCTGCTGGGAACTTCACAGAGGAGTATGAGCACTGGTACAGTAACTCACACAATGTCCAATTCTGCACTGGCAGAGCACTGGACTTCAAAGTGCTAGCTCTTGTGATTTCTAAAATACAAATTCCAATCATGTCATCTGGCTGTGTTAAACTCCTAGATGGTTCTTTATTGCCTACAAAATAAAGTCCAAATTCCTAAGAGAGTCACACAAAAAAGACCCTTTCAAAACCAGATGCTGGCCTTTCTAGCTCTTAAGTCTTCTTTTCTGCTATTGTCACTCTTGCTCTGAGGAAGAAAAGCTGTGGTTTGGGGTTTTTATTATTAAAATTCATCTTCTGTCCTGTCCTTTCTTCCCAGAAGACACATTTTCATCTCTCCTTACAAAAGACACTCATCTCTCCACCAGTTCCACTCTGAGGATCTCCCAGACTAGGGAGCCTCCTCTTCCTCTGTGTTTGGCCAGTATGCTCGGACTTGAGTACACAGGGCTAAGTCTTCTCCAGACTGACCAGCTCTTGTAAGAGTGATTTGGGCATCAGCTATCTTTCTGCCTCAACACTTCGTAAGCGTCCAGCAAATTCTTGGATGAAGAATTAAGCTGTGTTCTACTTTCTCAATACAGGGACCATAAAAATCAAGGAATCAGAAATCCTATGTGGTTTCCCAGGACTTGACTCTCAATAAATACTCGATTTCTGAATATATGATTGAACAAATAAATGAGCAAATGACAATTATGGCACATATTATGACAATTTAGAAAAAAACATGGCCAACAACAGCAGCGAAACCATCGCCAGGTGCTGGTGGCTCACACCTGTAATCCTAGCTACTCAGGAGGTTGAGATCTGAGGATAGAAGTTTTAAGCCAGTCTAGGCAAGTTGGTATCTCTAATTAACCATCAAAAAGACAAGAGTAGAGGTGTTGCTCAAGTGGTAGAGCACCAGCCTTGAATGGAAAAGCACAAAACCCCGAGTTCTTCCAGTATCAGCACACACACACACACACACACACACACACACACACACACACACACACACACACACACACACACACACACACACACACACACACACACCCTAGCTACTCAGGAGGCTGAGATCTGAGGATCTCAGGTGGAAGACAACCTCTGCAGGAAAATCTGTGAGCCTCTCATGTCCAATTAACCAATTAATCACCACCTTTAAGTAGAGATGTGGCTCAAGTGGTAGAGCACTAACCTTGAGCAAAAACACTCAGGGAAAGTTCACAGGCCCTGAGTTCAAGCTGTAGGCTGGCACAGCTAAGTTTGCCCATTATGTCATCTAAAATGTAACATCTACTGAAAGTCCTCCCTCCCTCTATGAAAGTTCCCAGAAACAGAAATTAGAAACAAGGTTGCCAATCAATCAGCTCAGGGTCATGTACCAGGGCCCTGCAGTACAATGATGTGCCAGTGTAAAGATGAGTTGATCCAAGCTCCTCAGAACATTTCAGTCCCAGAGCAGCTTAGTAATCACTTCCCATAAAACATTTATCAGCACTCCTCCTGCTCAGTAATCTCAAATATTCAGCAATTTACCCAACAAACATGAGTCATGAATAAAATATTTTTTACTGAATCAAGACTGCTGTTTTTATAGTGTTATCTGTATCTAGGTCCCTGTCAGGCAAATAACATTATTCTGCTCTTTGCCTTTGTTGACTGCCCATGTCCCTATGTGTCATCCACCCTTCTCTTCCCCCACTCCTTCCACCTTCTCATGCCCAGGCCCTACCAGCCACCTACTCTGAAGTCGGCTACATGTCAACTGCAGAGATAGGCACTGCTTGCGCACAATAACCTACTACCTAGTTGAACTCACTCAAAACCAAAATACATCCATCAGGTTTTCTCTTCCCACTCAGGACAGGTCCTTGTGTTGCTTTTTTTTAAACAAGCATAATGACAAAAGGCTGGACTCCATTCAATTCTGAGACAACCAACAGAGCCTGGCATTCTCTCCACAAAACCTTCCTCCTTTGGGGTCTCACTATTCAAGACCACTCACTATATCAAGGAAACATAGTTTCAGTCAATAAACATTAGTCATTTCCTTGGTATTCCTACCAGAAAACCACTTGAGTTTTACAGCTTCAGAATTTTAAAGGGAAGTTTCCATCAAAACAAGTTATATTGCTCCAATGTGTTATATTGCCCTGAAGACCATTGCAGGAGGGACCTGGTTGCATTTTTTTACTTCCTTAAGTGTCTGTGACTCAGAGGAACCCATTTCACTTCATAGAGTTGAATTTCCTCTAGGAAACTGAACAAACTGGACCAAATTCATGTTTCCCAGGTCCAAGGCAGGATATCTCTGTACAAGATAGTTTGTATCTACATTGTATGACATGTCTTGGTTTGTTCTTTGTGGGTAAATGATGGTTAAATTTTCTTAATGATGGTAAAATGTCTTTTTAGCTGGAGATGTGGCTAAGAGGTACAAGTATCAGCCTAGCAAGTTCAAGGCCCTGTGTTCAAAGTACAGAACCACAAATGGAAAAAAAAAAAAAACAGCTCATTTTAAAGTACATGCCCCTGGCTTTTCTAAAAGAAGAAACAGAAAAGGAAAGGAAAGGAAAGGAAGAGGTGCTCAAGCCTGTAATCTTACCTACTCACAAGGCTGAGATATGAGGATCACAGTTCAAAGCCAGCCAGGGTAGAAAAATCCATAGGACTCTAATCTCCAATTAACCAGCAACACACTGATGGTGGAGGTTTGGCTCCACAGTCGTAAACTCCAGCTAAGGGAAAGTTCGCAGGCCCTGAATTCAAGCCCCAAAACCTACCGACATTTTAATAAAAGATGGGAGGAAAGGGAGAAGAGGAGAGAGGCAGGAAAGGAGGGGAAGAGACTAGCTCAGGGGGTCCCAGCTGTGAGCAAAGTGATGTTTGACACCTGGCTGTGGTCGAACAGAGGTCTACACACCAGAGCCAAGGGAGAAGGAAAGGGGACCGCCAGAACCCACCGTAACCAGCCACCAGTCCTAGGGACTTCGGGGGGCGGGGGGGGGTGAATGACCGGAGACCGACCCCAGGGGGTCTCCAAACGCCTGAGGGCTGCGAACCCGCAAAGGGAGAGAGGGGGTGCGGTGAGATGGGATCTGGAAAGCGAGGAGTAGAGGGGCGCGGAGGTGAGCGGGTCCGGGCTGGAGTGGGGCGTTGGGAGTTACCCGGCCAGGGCGCGAGGCCCGAGGCCCGAGCTGGCCGGGCTTGGCGGGGCTCCGGAGCCAGGGTCCCAGGGCGGCAGACGAACGCCGAGCTGCGGGTGGAGCCCCGAGGAGCCCCGAGGAGCCCCGAGGAGCCGCGGGAGGGGCGCAAAGTCATGGGGGGGGGACACAGAGGGGCGACGCGGAGCATGGGTGTCCGGGGGACCCCGAGTGCTGAGAGGCCCATGCGCTCGGGGGAACCCACATTCTGAGGGCCCTGTGCCTGGGGGGCGCTCCTGAGGGGACCCCGAGTCCTGAGGGGACCCCGAGTGCTGAGGAGACCCCGCGTCCTGAGGGGACCCCGAGTGCTGAGGAGACCCCGCGTCCTGAGGGGACCCCGAGTGCTGAGGAGACCCCGAGTGCTGAGGAGACCCCGAGTGCTGAGCGGACCCCGAGTGCTGAGGGGACCATGCGCTCCGGGGGACCCCACATTCTGAGGGCCCTGTGCCTGGGGGGACCCCGAGTGCTGAGGAGACCCCGAGTGCTGAGGGGACCCCGAGTGCTGAGGGGACCCCGAGTGCTGAGGAGACCCCGAGTGCTGAGGAGACCCTGAGTGCTGAGGGGACCCCGCGTCCTGGGGGGACCCTGAGTGCTGAGGAGACCCCGAGTGCTGAGGAGACCCCGAGTGCTGAGGGGATCCTGAGTGCTGGGGGGACCCTGAGTGCTGAGGAGACCCCGAGTGCTGAAGAGACCCCGAGTGCTGAAGAGACCCCGAGTGCTGAGGAGACCCCGCGTCCTGAGGGGACCCCGAGTGCTGAGGAGACCCCGAGTCCTGAGGAGACCCCGATGAGGAGACCCCGAGTGCTGGGGGGACCCCGAGTGCTGAGGGGACCCCGAGTGCTGAGGGGACCCCGAGTGCTGGGGGGACCCCGAGTGCTGAGGAGACCCCGAGTGCTGAGGAGACCCCGAGTGCTGAGGAGACCCCGAGTGCTGAGGGGACCCCGAGTGCTGAGCGGACCCCGAGTGCTGAGGAGACCCCGAGTGCTGAGGAGACCCGAGTGCTGGGGGGACCTCGAGTGCTAAGGAGACCCCGAGTGCTGGGGGGACCCCGAGTGCTGGGGGGACCCCGAGTGCTGAGGAGACCCCGAGTGCTGAGGGGACCCCGAGTGCTGAGGAGACCCGAGTGCTGAGGGGACCCCGCGTCCTGAGGGACCATGCGTTCTGGGGGACCCCAGATTCGGAAGGCCCTGTGCCTGGGGGGACCCCGAGTGCTGAGGGGACCCCGCGTCCTGAGGAGACCCCGCGTCCTAGGGGCCCGGCTCCGGGAGGCCGAGGCCGCGGACCCCAGACGCCCCGCGGCCGCCGCGCGCGGGCCCCGCGCCCACCGGCCCTACCGGTCCTCGCTGGCCGTGATCACGCCGTCCTCTTTGGGGATGAGCAGCGCGGCCGTGACGGCGTCCTGGTGGCCCTCGATCTTGCTCAGCAGCACGGGGCGGCTGCTCTGCGGCCTGGAGTGGATCTCGGCCGCCATGTTCGCGCGGCCGCAGCCTTCCCCGCCGGCGGCCCATCAGCTGACGGCACGGCAC